TTAAATTTAAATTTAACCTATTTAGTTGTCTTTCTTCAAATCCAAATGATATCAAATCTTATTCTTGTCTTGGAGGAAAGTGTTCCATTGGTCATTTTTGTTCCTTTTTCTACCCTTTTCCCATTTCTATGATAATCTTTCTCATGGAGAAAATCTATGTATGTGATCACTAAGAGTCGACAAAAACTTAATGACACATAATCAATCAATGATAGTCTTTTTAATAGCTGGATTAGAAAACAGTGTCCCCCATATCAAGGACAGAGTAGAGAGAAAATATTTTATTAATTAATTTGTTCAACTTATTTGCCATCTCAGTCACTGAAGTAATATACTGTAGGTGATGTACAAGAAAATAAGGATTACCAATAGAAATACAATAATATATGATATTCCTCTAACCATACACATTAAATAAGACTTATTTACTATGGGGATGGGAGGAAGAAGACAGACTCAGGCACTGAAATACTCATAGAATAAGGAAAGGCAGAAAAGAATAAAACCAGATCTCTTCTTAGTGTACATGAATGATCTGTTGGGGAGGGGAGGAGGAGAAATAACAACCTATCATGTGTACTTTGATTTTTTTTTAATAGCTGAATAAGCCAATTTGGTTGTCTATACAGAATTGAAGACATCATCATGCTGAGGCAGAGTAGGATTCTCTGCAGAGCTGTTTTCATTTTCCCTGAAGTCTTCTAGAGGGATGGAAGAGCAACTTAACTGTGCCCTTTTATTTTAAAAAAATCTGGCTGTAATTACAGATAACAATGTTTCACAATTAAGTCCATAAGAAAACATTTGCAACAATTCCGTTCCCTATAAATTAATCCATACACAACAGAAACTCAATGGGAAATGAAAAAAAAAATGGCAAGAAAACAATTATTGATTCCCAGCATATGATGGAAGGCAGGTCTCCCAGCCTGATTTACCGGAGGCCCCACATAAGCCTCAAGTGCAAAGGAGAAGCTCACAAATATAAGGCTCAATTAAAGGAAACAAGGTGCTTTTCTAATGCTGACTCCTCCCATATTAATCAATGTTATTGGGAGAGATGGATTTTATAAGAAACAAGGTGCTTTTCTAATGCTGACTCCTCCCATATTAATCAATGTTATTGGGAGAGATGGATTTTATAAGAAACAAGGTGCTTTTCTAATGCTGACTCCTCCCATATTAATCAATGTTATTGGGAGAGATGGATTTTATAATGAAGAACTATACTGACCTCTTTTATAATGAAGTAAACCTCCTTTACCTTTCCCAGGCATGCTATCCAGGAGGAGCTGCCAAAATCAGGGAGCATCTACAGAACTGTTTTTCTGCTTTCCTCAATTCCTGAAATGTTTGGATGATCATAACAACAACATCCGCATGTTGCAAATGATGAATCTCAACAGAAATAAAACATGCCACAAGGCTGGAATCTTCACCAACCTGGCCCTGCTCTTCTAAGCTATCCAAAGTACCTGGCAAGGCCGAGGAAACGGGAACAAAGATTCAAACTGCTGAGCAAAATGGGAAGAATATACAGAGCTTTTAATTCTTCAACTGTCCTCGCAAGGAAGGTGCACCTGATCATCATACTAGAGTTCTCGCTCTTGGATTTATGCTTCCAGGCTGGAAAAATTCACTCTTATGTTCATTTTATTATGGGCTGAATTTTGCACCTGAATGGAACAAGGAAGAGAAACATGGGGGAGGTGCTGGTTTGCTAATAAACACCCGTTTGGCGGCCCAAGGGGAGGAATCTGGATTTCAGGCAAAATGACTACCACCAAACAGCTCACTGAAATATGGGTTGGTTTTATCAAAACCTGTAAGGACTCTCCCAACACACTCCGTGCTGAAAATGATGCCTAGGTCAAGACTATTTTCTCTGTCTCTGTCTCTCTATATATATGTATGCATTTTTTCATAAGGTATCTTTTTCATCTTTTTCATAAGGCACCTATTTCTTTACAATATGTATCTTCTCCATTTGGGGCTGTGCAGCCAGATTACTTATGGCTTTTGAAATTGACTGTACAGCTCTCAATACCGTTAGGACTTTGATGGCTGACAATAAATTCCTATACGATCACAGCTCTTACCCTAGAATAACTGCTTTTTTTATACTATTCAAAATTTCAGGAATTCAGTTCTTTGTAGCCTTCCTCATCATTCCCAGAAATCTCTTACACATACCAAGGGGTCTCCTTTATGTGACACGTCTTTAAGGTTCAAAACATGTTATACCTGCCTTTTAGGGCAACCTGAATAGCTTCAAACGTCTTCCAGCTGCTTTTTAAAGGCTGACTGATTTGATTCGCCTGTTAATAATAAGGCTTGTTAAGGGTTGGAGGCTGATGGTGAAGTTAAATTTATCACAAACTTGTGGAAGTCTTCCCTATGCTGTATTCTCCGCCAAGGGTGACTCCTGGCAGAATCAGGAGAAGAATCCATGGGTGAAGTCCATGAAAATTCCCATTTTGAATTTTATGGGGTAGGTTTTATGAGCCTCACTAAGAACACCCTGCAAAAGACAGCAGTGCCAGACCTATTTAACTTGGGATTTTCTTCCCTTACCAGCAGAAAGATCTCTCTCTCTCTCTCTTTAATATAAATTTTATTGTATAAATTTTTAACAAGATAAAAACAATACGAATATTAGAAAAGAAACAAAGAAAATAAGAGTAGTGAGTAAGTAAGAAAGAAAATGGAAAAAGAAAAAAGAACAAGTTATAAAGAAGTGGCTTCCAATTTTTTTGACAGTAGTTATAAATGCATTTATATTTTACCCTCTTTCTCTAAGGTTACATCATAATTTCCTTCTTTCCATAAGCTACCATTTCTAATCTTCAAACCCATAAATCACAGGTTCATTTTTCTCTTTTTTCAGCAAAAAAGTCCATAACGGGTTTCAGTCACTGACAAGCAGAAAAGCCTCAAACGGAGGAAAGCCTCAGCTGTTGTGGGGGAAATGAGTACTTCAATAAACAACCAAAGCATTTGGAGACAGATGCAAAACAAAATGACAACAACAACAAATCTTTCATTGGCACGCACAACTACAGCGATCACTGGGTCCCTCAGCAGAGGAACACGGAAGAGTCCATAGGCTCACAAGGCCACAGGTTATATGCCCTCTGAAATGATACACAGGATTTACAAAAGCAGTATCAATTATAGCACAACCTTTTCTGCAGGAATATGGGTCTGATAACAACAACTCGGGGTGACCTTATTATTGGCTGACCCAGCACCTCTAAATTCTCTTTGTCTAAGGAGGCTCCATGCCTGCCCTTTCAAATGATTCTACCACGCTCTCACATAAACAATGTCCTTTACTGCACTCCCTTCACACCAAGGAAAAGTCAACAACCTGGTTTCTGTTCTCTCTCTCCTTCCCTTCCAGGGTTCTCAGATAGCTCCAGCTTGCCTTCTTGGTCTAAGAGGCACCAGTCACCTGTATGGAAGGAGAATATTATTTGCCCCCACAC